CCGACTCTCAGTTGTAATCAGAAACGCCTTACTTCACGCTGAGCAGCAGAGGGTGTGGCATGCATTGCATAAACAAGATTACTTCACGAGTGCACGCAGCATTCTATGACCTAGATTATATACATCGTGTATACCAGTAATACGTTGTTAAGAGTACACATCTTATCTCCACTTGGACGTTTTAAAATGAAGCCGCAGGAATTGAAGAATATGATTGACGATGCACCTGTTTCCAGTTTTGTAAGGTCCTGTGCCACTGTGGCATTGCGCGTCACCGATGACGCTGTACTGGCAATGATTGTGTATTCTGGGATTGGCACACGGCTAGGTTTGGCCTTATGTGTTCTAACAGACATGTACTGGTACTGTACACCATCATCTCCTGCATGTGCTGGCGAAACGGGGAACATAATGCTGTACAGGAACATAATGCTGTACAGGTACATAATGCTGTACAGGTATTGCACCAAAAATTACATACGGTGAACGTACAGTGTACATGTACAGTGTACATGGTTATACATTGTTATACATTAGTGTACAGTGTACAGGGTACATGGTTATACATTGTTATACATTATGCATGTAGACCTCTAGGTGTATTCTGTGGTGAAAATTCCAAGTCTGTCTACAAAGTACACGTACATGTGTACATGTATACCAGAAGTCGCCCACGACATTCCATTTGAGCTTGTCTACGCAGATGACACTGATTTCATAAGCCTTAGTCGTCAATGGCTCACAGAGCTCGAACCGGTCATAGACCACACTCTCGGGCAGTGGGCCCTGAGAGTCAACAAGACCAAAACTGAGTGGACAGAGCTGGGTCGATCTGTAGACAGAATTGACGAGCGCTGGAGGACATCCCGAAAGCTGGGCTCACTCCTGGGCGACCTTGAGGATGTGACACGTCGCAGGCAATTGGCCGAGGCTGCCTTCCGATCCATGTGGTCTCTTTGGAAGCGCCGAGGACTGATCCGAGAGCCGCTGCGTATGAGGTTGTACTGCGCCTTTATCATGCCGATACTTCTCTATAATTCAGGCACCTGGGGCCTGACGGTTGCTAGCGAACGCTCCCTGGACGCTTTCCATAGAAGGCAACTCAGGTCACTTCTCGGCATCACATGGCCACAAAAGATTAGTAATTTGGCGTTGTATGCCCGATGTGGAGTGGAGCCGGTGTCGGACTTGATCCGAAATTCACGCTGGAGTCTATTCGGGCATGTGCTTCGCCTGGGTAAGGACACGCCAGCACGATTGAGCATGGAGCAATACTTTCAGGCACCCGAGGGGAGGTACCGTGGGAGGCCGAGGGTGACACTACCAATAAAGCTCCACACCGATCTGTCCCAGTCGAACAATGGGCACCTGCGGAGTGTTGAGGACTTGCGCCGTCTGGAGCGGATTGCTGTGGACCGTCCAGCATGGAACGCGCTGGTGAAGAGTGTTTGTGCACACCCTCGTCACGAGTAGAAACAGCCATGGCACCCTTATAAACTCATAACAACCATTCTATAAAAATATTACTATTTGAATCTTTTAATAATTATCTGGCAACTCAACCTCATACGTATAATTATCTGGCCACCCATTGACCATGATGCTACATGAGGAGACAATAGTGATGACATTTTTCCAATGAGACCAATTTTATGACGCTCCATGTTACTGAAGGACTAACTTCGATCATTGGTTTTGTAGAGCCCCATTCTCTAGGAGCTGTCTACATCTGCTTTGTTTCAATGTCCAGCATAAGCGAACGTGTGGATCAAGCATAACTGCTTGGTTGACGCTGCCGCGGGAATGCGTATAATAATAATAATAAATAATACCAGAAGTACAATGTACATACAAACATTTGCACACCGAAAAAGCATCAGGGAGGTTTTTAATTTTTTTAAATCCGAGCTGCTGCCTTTCACCTACCTAGTATCAGCGTGTTGATTCATTACGTCATGGTAACACTCCGAACACCACCGGATGTTTGTCGGTGTTCACTAAACCAGCAGCAAAACGGCTTCAATTCAGGATACTACATTTGTAGTACATCAGAATCATCATTCAGCTAGCTGACAGGACCTACACATAATGTAACTATTATACACTGTACCTACCAAGCCTCATCCGTGAAGGTATACAGTCATGTAACAATATTGAATGGTTCGAATATCTGAGAAGCACTATTTGTTGTTGTTGTTGTATACTTTATTTATAGTGGAAATCAAAACAGGCAAAATGCCTAATAACATTGGACCCACTGTGAATAACATGTTAAAGGATATTGTGGAGAAAAAAAAAGAAAAAGAAAAATTTCAAAGTTTAATGGAGAGGACACCGCACGGTTTCATAACTGCTACGCTCAAAAGCTGCTTACAAAGTTACACCACCAGTAGGAAGAAGAAAAGAGAAATGAAACAGCCCAATTTACTTCGCCCTTTAGGATGACCGTCAACTAAAGAAAGCGAAAAGTGTAAAGTGCAAAATCACACCAGAACTCAAGATGCTGTGAACAAGGTAATACAGGGCGCAAGATCACAGACATTCTACGTCTAACAATGCGGTTGGGCTAAGAGCACAAAATACTGGTGGTGAGAGTACAAATGTACTGGTGGTGAGAGTACAAATGTACTGGTGGTGAGAGTGCAAATGTACTGGTGGTGAGAGTACAAATGTACTGGTGGTGAGAGTGCAAATGTACTGGTGGTGAGAGTACAAATGTACTGGTGGTGAGAGTACAAATGTACTGGTGGTGAGAGTACAAATGTACTGGTGGCGAGAGTACAAATGTACTGGTGGTGAGAGTACAAATGTACTGGTGGTGAGAGTACAAATGTACTGGTGGTGAGAGTACAAATGTACTGGTGGTGAGAGTACAAATGTACTGGTGGTGAGAGTACAAATGTACTGGTGGCGAGAGTAAGCCTCCTTTACAGGTAAAATAGAATGCACCCGACACGTTTAAAACATCCTAAACGGTTGGACTTGGAGATGTTTGTCTCGTGTAGAGAAAAGGAAGAGAGCTCAACACTTGTAAGCTCTCACGTGGAATATATTTCATTTAGATTAGTTCCACACAAATTAGAAGCTGGTGAAGAATTCGGACAATACATGGCATACTAGAACAACCCTATGTCCATTTTCGTAACTCTGCTCGCAAGATTGCGTGAATATAGCTGTGTAGCATGAATTGCTGTAACCTGCCATCACTCGTTACTAGTTTGGCATTGGTTACTTGAATGGTATTGTTCCCAGTATCTTTCTGTGTCAGCTCTTTGTGGTTATCACCTAGTTAGCCAATAAGAGAATTGCTCAGCTCATAAATTGTTCCCAAGCAGCTGGATACGGCTCATGAGTAGCTCCAATTTTAGTGGACCCAAACCTCATTTCATGGTCGCTTGTGGACGCATGGGGTTGGCATTAGTGGCTCATTCCTGCTAGACCTAATCACGCTCTACATGTATGCAAATTATATAGCACGCTGCACTGGTACATGTAGTCTGTGAGTACATGTACATGACTTATTCCAGGTATTGTCCGATGAAACGGGCTTTACAAGGAAGAATTTTCCTTTTGCCAGCAGAGAGGGTTCAACGCGACGAACTCTGTAAATCTTTTTAAAAGAAGGCGTTATCGTTATACATTTAGTTAACCACGAAAGGCTAATCGGACGTGAAGAACGTGTTGGAAAATTGGGCAATCACGTCGTTCAGTCTGCAAGGTGTGTGGTCCGCAGTCCGTATGTCCACGCCGCTCCTCCATTGTAGTGACTGTTGTCTACTAGTATCTCCTAGCACCATGTACCATGTATAGTGGCGATGCTTGGTCCGAGATACCACATGTTCTAGGTCTTTGCTTCTAATCTTTTGGAATGCCCGCGCTCAGCGCCGCGTGCACAACTGCAGGCTCGTGGTGCGAAGTTAGTTCATCTCAGTTGCCACGAAAGGCACAAAACAACATAGTGTGGTTTCTCAGTCTTCAAACCTGTCGCGCGCAAATGCATGGTGAGTGCATTGTACTGTAGGCAGCAGGGTACTTGTTTTATGCTATTTTGCTACGGGCAAAACAATCATCTTCAAGACTTCAATCAGCGCCACAGCAGTTTTAGAGTTCACCTGGCACATATTTTCTCTCCTTTGATCAGAGGCATCAAACGGACGCATGAAGTGTGGTTGTTGGCCGAGTAATGCCCGTGGGTGAGTAGGTTGTGCAATTGCGAGAAGGTGATGATGGTAGGGAGGACTGCTGCTACCATTCACACCCTCTAGGCTTCACACATTGACAGTATCCAGTACATAACAATGCCACCAACCAAAAACAGGGAGAGAGAACTGCCTCGGATCAACGCATGGTTTATCAGATTCTCAGATCTTCCTCGCCAGGGCTGGAGTTTCACTCACAAACACACGGTTGTTTGGAATGTATTGTAACCTGTTTTCAAGGACGTCACTACGTAGATGGAAAGAAAGATTGATTTCCCCTGTTTGCATTCCGGTCCATTTCGTTTGAAACGAAGAGTCCGGCCTGGCCCATATGTTTGTAGTCATCAGTTGAGTTGATTTTCAGTTTTTCAACGCCTCACAGCAAGAGGGCACATAACGGGTATCCTTGTCTACAACGCACTTGTCTGAAGTGTCGTCAGGAACGCTGCCGGTGTTTCGCATCTGTCTGATGGGCGGCTGGGCAACGAAGTCTTTGTGAGAGAGGTACACGAAGAGATGGGTCTCGTGGTTGCCTTCTCGGACGGCAGTCGTATTTTCAGAACTTGCTACCCAAACCGCTAAAAGCACGGAAGATTTACACCCCCCCCCCCATGGTGCGTTTGTATTTTGTAAGGTGATTAGCGGCTATCGTTGTGATCACGATAGACAAGTCCGATCGCGGTCATTCTGGGAACCTGTGCCAAGACTCAACTGTGAGCAGCTAGGCTCTCAACAGTGTGTAGTACAAGTATTACATTAGAGCTGGCGCATAAACACAGCGCATCAGACTACTACATTGTGGCAAGGCCGACCAGGTCCGCTGGGATCCTTGTCCCTGGCGGAGGTGTCGATTCTTTCAGTGAACTCAGGAGACCCTGTCTGCTGGTCGTCTGTCAAACACGACATTCCGGCGGTTCTGCAGTAATTCCCTTCTTCTCGATCAGTCACGTGCAGTCGAATGCTGTTGTAGCTTCTTCTGTGCATGGTCATGTAGTCGTATTGGTCTCGCTTATCTGCTGGACATATGCAGTAGTCTGGGTACCAACAGCACGTTGTTTTGTTCCCCCGCTGCACCTGCTCCGTTGTCCGAAACAGATAGACCAATGCTAAACCTATGCGGCCCAGCGTCTGTTCATAAGATGGCTCAGTTAGAGCGGGAAGCAGTCGCTTTCGGAGACTTGGATCAAACATTTTCTCTTTGAATTGAAGACGAGCTTTTTTTGTTGAACTAGAAGGTCTCTGGTGCAGTGGTAGAACGCCAAAGTTGGACTAGGATTTGGAAGAGAGCGAGTCAAGCTAGCGATGTGTGAGCAAGGGACAATGTTCAGTCATAGGCGATGGAGTCATGGCTTCCGGAGTTTCCGTTCTGAACTTCTAGATTTTGTTGTTTCGCTACTACTGCTCCTGTTATGTTTATCCGCACACAATGGATGTTCGGCGAGTCCGATTCAAATCGAGAACACAGATTGGCAGAGCCATGACCTCTACAGCCGCAGAGTACATGGTAAGTGTGATTGTTGTGTATCGTGTCGAAAGAGATTCTCTAGCGTGTTGCTGCGTAGTGCGCTCAGATTGTTGACGACCTCATAATAATGGATGGTGAAACTCTTGGTCAAGATTTTTTGGTGTCGAATTTTCACGTAAACAGAGGACTCGCTTCTGAGGTGTATCTTTTGTTGTGTTGTTTTCGAGGCAGTTGTTTTCACCATGCTGCCTGCATGGTATTTGGCGAATGCTCGTGTTTTTTCACATCGAATGTTCGAAGTGGCGGGTAGCGGCGTGAACTGTAATGGATCCGTGGCACGTGCGCTGGCGGTCTCTGATTGGTTTGCGGCATATGGCCAGGACACATTCGTGCAAGGTGCCCAGCTCACCGGACGAGGAGGAGAAATTCTCCCCTGCGAAGCTTCGCCTATCTGCAGGCCGTCCCTGTGGCGTTTTGTGAGACCTTGATGCTGCCATTGCGGCCCGTGGAAAACACGTGTGTGGATCCTCTAGACGATGAACATACCATCGTGGGACTGAGGTATGGTGTTCCGTCGTAGCTCTACACAGGGGCAGGTTGCAGCTCCTTTTGGCGTACATGTCGATGAATCGTGGCCTCTGCTGAATAGACTTGAGCTGAGCTGCGCGAAGGCCGAGCCTTATCAGACCGACGTGATCCAACTTTGTTTGGTCGGCCGCACATACTGTCAAAGAAAACTCGTCGGGACATCAGTATTTGTTGCTGCTCGCCATGTTTGGGCCAGTGCGTAGGCAATGCGTTCGGACGAATATGCTCCCACAGATACTTGTAGAAGTAGCCGAGAGTGCGCCTATTCTAGTACGTGTACCTTATACAAGCCATTTGCCAGTACGGACTGGTTCATTGTCTATCGTCGTCCACAGCATGTACTGCAAAGGACAAACAGGAAGCTAGCCTCATACACTCTCATTCGAATGCATTGCACAGCAGTGGACAACGTTCCAAATCAAGATGCCAGGGCTCGAAACTCAAATAATTATACTGAGTAATTTTTGTTTCATGTGACACAGGCCACACATCAAGAAAGATTGTATCAGTGTTAGAGAAGAAGTCACCTGGGACTAGTGTGACGGGCCAGGTGCATCAATACCAAAACAACGGGCGGGAAGAATGCTATATTCTTGCTCTCCACATAAACATTCACATACTCCCTAGATACGTGCTGAAGGAGTTCGGTCAAGTTCACGTGGAGAACTCCCATCTTCTGACTAGCAGACATTGGTGGTCCGAAGATCCCATGAGATACAATGTAAAGTTCCCAGGCACACACCTATCTACAAGTTAGCAACATGACATTGTGTACAGTAACCATCTCCCTCAGGAAACTCTGCACAGGTGGCCCATGTGGCTGCGTGTGTGTGGCAACTAAGCCACTGTGTGGTCAACCCCAATCTAATACTGCTCATTCTGAACTTAACCTGAATTGACGGGTACATCAACTCTGCTATACCGATTAGTCAGTGTCCGTCCATGTTCCAGACAATGAAGCTACATGTACAGCTGTAGCTAATGAAATCAAACCCTTGAATTTGCACTGAGCTGCCGCAGTGGATCATGGGCTACATTTCCTTCTCCACGGCTGATGTCCTAGAGGACAGTGCTTCTCAGCGAAACCCGATGGCGTGGGTCAAGTTTGTGCCTTGCACCATTTGGCAGCCCGCTGTTCGCAGGTGCAGGGCTGTGAAACGCCCGGCATATCCTTGAGTGACTTGACCGGATTTCATTGAGCAGCAATGGTGTGTATGAGTTGGTTCCGAACAGGCTTGTGCGACCCTTACCGAACTTGTCCGGTCTACCACACGTTGTTAGTCGGCAGTTCGTCACTTCTTTACTGGTGGCTTTGCTACTGATTTCTCGGGGCTGGTGACATTCCTACGGATGCAGGAAACTCGGCCGCCAGCCGAGGCTCACACGAACCGAGATTTTTGCTACTTGTAGTGATTGAACTGTTATAGGATATGTTGGTGGAAGGAGGTGAATTTACCGTTAATTTAGTAAGGATTACTGCTGGCTGCATCCGCCACAATGTGGGTGGATACTGTGCAGTGAATGACTCGAACTGAAAAGGAGATGTCGGTGTGGTAACTGGGAAAAATGAGGTCTCGTCAGTGAGCAGAAGGAACCGTATTTCAGACTTGAACAAAAACTTCTTTTTTATGGTGTATGCATGCTCTCACAGACAACTGCCCGGATCAGCCCAGCTACTGTCCGCCACGTCAAGCAAATGTCACAGTGCACAGGATCAACGAGACAGCGGTGCGATTAACGTGGATATACGTGCCCGGAGCCAGTCCACTGCAGATCGGAGTTGTCGCTAACATTGAACTAAGACTCACAAGCATATACGAAGGTGCCATAGACATCGCCATACCAGCTTCCCGTACTGCGTACACGGTTACATCTCTCATACCGGGTGTCAACTATCGCCTGCAAACATCTACATTCAATAGCAATGGAGAAACCATCAGTGAAGACATACAGCTTGAATCTCCAGGTGAGGAAATGGCAAAGATTCTTCCTCTGCCCGTTTCTCTGGCTGGTCACCAATCTTTGTGGTCTGTCTGCATATTACTCTCTTTCTATGCATCTCTCTCTCTCTATTTCTCTCTCTCTCTCTCTCTCTTTCTCTCTCTCTCTCTCTCTCTCTCTCTCTCTCTCTCTCTCTCTCTCTCTCTCTCTCTCTCTCTCTCTCTCTCTCTCTCTCTCTCTCTCTCTCTCTCTCTCTCTCTCTCTCTCTCTCTCTCTCTCTCTGTGTCTCTCTGTGTCTCTCTGTCTCTCTCTGTCTCTCTCTCTCTCTCTCTCTCTCTCTCTCTCTCTCTCTCTCTCTCTCTCTCTCTCTCTCTCTCTATCTCTCTCTCTCTCTCTCTCTCTCCTCTCTCTCTCTCTCTCTCTCTCTCTCTCTCTCTCTCTCTCTCTCTCTCTCTCTCTCTCTCTCTCTCTCTCTCTCTCTCTCTCTCTCTATCGCTCGCTCTCTCACTGTCCTCCTCACTAGCATCCCTGTCAAGCACAGGTGGGATTAACCAATACTTCTCCTCCTTCTTCTAACATCTACAGAATACTTGGAGTCTGAATGTGTCAGAATGACAGCTGGTCAGGAGTGTGTTGCATCCGGTGGTAATGCCCTGTTCAAATGTTCAGCAAGAGGAGGTCCACTCTTGGGTGTAGAGTGGCCAGCAGTGCCCAGTGCAGTCATCCGCCAGCAGCCAGTTACAGGTGGTCAGAACCTGTATATCGACATACGCAACGTTAGCATTGCCGATAATGGTCGTACGTACTGTTTGACATCGACAACTCCAAACAAACGACAGCGAGCATGCTTCACGCTGTGTGTAAGAGGTGAGAAATGTTGACCATGGCCTTTTGTGTAGAATTATGAAAACCGGATTTTCAATCCTACCTTCAGTAAATCTCAACATGTCCATTGAATTCTTCTTGTTCTAAAGCGGATCACGAAAGACAGAGAAAAGGGAGTTGTCCTTTTGGCCAAGTGAACGTAGTCAGAATAGGTTCCCTGCATCACAATATACAAAGTTTCAGATCCAAAAGCAATGTTTGAATTTGAAACCATGGTTCAGTGCTAGGTTGAATTTAGCCCAATCCAGTTTTTGAAACCTCCATAGTCAATCTTCTTCTGAGTGCACATAACAGCACGACGTCTTAGTTTGCTACGATCATCTTGCCAGAGTATGTCGAGATGTTTCTCCAAGAAGACATGCAATGAAGCAGATTCGTAAGTCCTCTTGCACTAGACTATCTGTACCACTATTTTATGATTGCCCGATACAGAACGCATTCAGATCAGCTGCCGGAAAACCAGACCCTGCGCTCGTCGCCATGACTACCACCAATCGCTGACACTCAGCTGCACAGTGAGCGGACAACCTACACCCAATGTCACGTGGCGTTTCAACGGGCGCGTGATCACCAGCAGAGAGTCACGTGGCAATGAGTGGCACCTGCTGAACACAAGACCGGGACGTCTAACACAGCTGGACGGCGAGTTCGCACCGCAATCTCCGTCGTTCAGCACCGCCTGAGGACGGAGTTGACGCATCATGACTATCACACAGGAACAGTGCTAGTGTCTGCAAACAATGGATTTGAAAAAGCCAAGGTCGTACAGGACATCATCATCACGTGTAAGCTATTAGGGAATTATCAATATGCCATTTCTAGTCCTTGACTCTCTGTTAGTTTTACGTAATAGCTTATACCGGCAATAACTCTACACTAAGGAAGATGATGCACAGTTTGCACTGGTCTGTTTCGATCATTGTTTTTCACTATCCGTCTCTGCTGTGCAAACTGTGCATGAAGGCAAAATGGCCACAGCATACAAACAGGCTCTCCCTGATTCTGGATTTTACGAATGAGGAATCCAGTCGTTCTCCTGGTGGACATCGCAAATTTATTGCTCACTACATTATCTCAATGTGCACAGGGAACCCAAGTGAGGTGGTCCAGGTGGTGAAGATGACGCCTACAATAGAACTGGATGACCCGTTCCACATCCGTTGCAAGAGCTTCATAGGCCTGTCGGATCAGCACTTTTCCTGGTATTTCACACCGGCTGGATCGAAAACCAAGACGAGAATTAATCCCGGTAAGACAGCAACTGTGTATCTCAGAATCCCCTACGCATGCAACCGTAAGCCTGCATCAAGACAACACGTGCTGTCATGACAACACGTGATGTCATGGTGACACTGTACCCCATGGACAGATTGTACGCCCCTTCAGTTTCATTCCCGGTTCCAATCTCTAGCTTCAGTGTAGTTAAACAGAAGTGTGTTCTCCATTGCATCAGCAGCAGCCTCAATTCAGACACCTTCAGTCAGGGATCCAGTCCAAAGTCCAATGTGTCTGTAACTCTGAGTAATTTGTCTTGTAACGGGGGGGGGGGGGGGGGGGGGGGCACGAGGGTTCAGTATCAGGCAAGTGTTTATAATATTCAACCACCCGAATTGTCAGAGACATGGGTACAGGGTATTCCCCTTGGCCATGTGACTGACCACATACACACTGGGTGTACATGACGTATGTATGGTAGTCTGTTTAACTGTCCCGAGTCGTTTAGAACTTCGTTATGCTGTGCTTTACATGGGTGACAAGTAGACATACCTTTTAGTGCATCATGTAGACTGTGACAATGTGTATTGATGATGAGGTTGGATTGCCTAGCTGGTGAAGACCTGGACTGAGGATAGTTAAAGGACAGATTAGTAACATGACTTTAAAGTCACGTGATTCCCTGTTTTCTGTTTATTTCAACAGGTGCATTTCGTACGTATCAGATTTTCACTTGTTTCTTGAAACTGGAGTTTTTCTTTACGGTAAGCGGTGCCAACGCGTGTCTTGCACACTTGTCACGGTCAATCTCATTCATGCACCACATTCTCGGTGATATCTGTGCATCATATTGGACTCGCTCTCACTGGTAATGCTCCACCTGGTGAAAATTGCTGCAATGAGCTGCAGGTTCCGCTGTGGATGCACCGGAAGAAATGAATTACCAGTTTCAAATCGACGCACACTGAAAGTTGCCTGTAGAGAATCGCAATAAACAGAACCAGCTGAGTGGACATACAAAGGCTTTATTGAGTTTTGTCACGCATAAACAGAACCAGCTGAGTGGACATACAAAGGCTTTATTGAGTTTTGTCACGCATAAACAGAACCAGCTGAGTGGACATACGAAGGCTTTATTGAGTTTTGTCACGAATAAACAGAACCAGCTGAGTGGACATACAAAGGCTTTATTGAGTTTTGTCACGAACAAATGTGAGAGAAAGTGGTGATGACTAAAGGGGGAACTATGATGGAAATATATGTAGGACTCAGTATAGAGTCCATGCACTATATGATGTCCAGCACCCTATATAGAGTCCATTGGTCCAAAATCCACTATACAGAGTCCAGGAGTCCACTCAGTTTTGATCAGCTTCATCCTGCCGCGCAATCCCCTATAAGGAGTACACTTTTTCTACAAGTCCCCTATTCACGGTCCAGGAGTCCAGTTTATCCAGTCACGCCGTCCTGTGTGTTGTGCCCGAAAGAGAAAACACCTTTTCAGTTTTGCTTGCCTCATGGCAGCGCATTCCTTTCTTCACTTCAGCCATGGCTGCCAGTTCTGCTGTGCAGTGAGTTGCTGACAGTAATCTGTCTCGAGGTAACCAAGGAGGATAAGGAGACGTTCAAAATCAAATCCGGAAAGCGTCTTGTGGTTCTCTGAAGACGTTTCATCCGTGCGCGGGATGAAAGCAGAAATTTCAGAACGAGAAAAGTTCAGCACAGTTCAAATCTGACGAGTCAGGTACACTGACACTCTCTTTCGTTCGACGCCACAAGGATCCCCTGTTTGGCTGGCCATTGCTGCCAGGAAGGCGTTTGAACGGTTTCATCAGAGCGAGGGATGAAAGCAGAAAGCGGAGAACGAGAAAAGTTCAGCACATTTCCAATCTGACGAGTCAGATACACTGACACTCTCTTTCGTTCGACGCCACAAGGATACCCTGTTTGACTGGACAAGAGCTGCCTGTACCACCGTGTCAAAAGGCTGTCCAACTACATGGCAGGACGATGACTGGGGTAAGGAAGCTTTTACTCGTTTCGATTGGTCTGCTGTTCTGTCGTTATGCTTGAATTTTTTTCCATTTTCAAGGATCGTATCGCGTTTTTGTTTGATGTTGCTTGAATGAATGCCATAAAAGTAATCAACCACTTCGTAATAGTCCTCAAGGACTGCAAGGACTTTGCATCAATCGTATACGATCGTCTAGCTATCATCAATTATTATTTTATTTCGTGAGAAAATTATTTTTATCTCTGTGATAATTATGTGAACTCCACGACACTCTACTACTAGGCTTTAGTATGATGTCAAATACAATGGGATCCACAAACGCAGTGCCAGTGTACCGTAGTAGTAGTAGGAGGATTTCTTGTATGCCGATGACAAGAAAAAGCTTCTCAAGCTAATACATGTACAGTCGTCCTTCTCTAATCCGGCACTTGTTTATCCGGAACCCTTGCCAACCGGCGCACTTTCTGATGAAACCGATTTTTTTCGTTCAGTTCCTACATCTTAATCCGGCACTTGAATTCCGCCTCCGGCAGTGACTTTTTGAAACGAATCGCTCAAACTGCACGTAGTTTGATTTCATAATCTGGCAGTCATAAATCGCGTACCGTACAGGTGCACTCCTTGCCAGGCCAGGCTAGGCCAGTCTGGTCAATGTTGTCCAGGAGACAACGGCAGTCAACCATACTTTCTTATTTTAGCAAGGAGTAGTGTCCTGCCAATTTTCAGGTGTGTGTGTGTGTGTGTGTGTGTGTGTGTGCGTGTGTGTGTGCAAGAGTACATGTGAACATGTTCTCTGTTTTACTTTATCACTTTATCACTGTGTATATTCCCGGAGAACAATTGAGAATATAAAGCCGTGCACCAAATACTTGGGTCGACACGGAAAAACCCTGCGTTTTGACATACATATGATACATGCATGCAATTGGGTAGGGCCGGGTCAGGGGGCAGGATTTCTTAATCCAGCACCCTCGTTAATCCAGCAGAAAACGCCGTAGCAAAAGGTGCCGGATTAGAGAGGGACGACTGTACTCGTATTCCATGAAGTATCCGTTTTGATATCACAAACATGACATTGTGTCAGTGAAACTACCTCGTGACAACAAATCATTGCATTTCCATCTTGGGGAGGACTGACTGACTGCAACGCTGTACAGATTGTTTAAATCATCTCATTTCAATTTAGTTGCAGTGAAGTGAAACACTGTGTACACTACATGTATGGTGGTGTGTCTGTGCGTCTTGAGTGTGCACAAACAATCTTATTCCTCGTATTACTAATAGATTATTGTCCCCACCGTCACCTGTTCACAGGTCTTTGTGTGGATGGATTTTCATTGAGCATCACATTCGTTGAGAACTTGGTAGTTGTGTGCTCCCATGCATCATTACGGTAATAAGCGTATCCTTGTGCTATCTATTTGTTGCAGGTGTGCTGATCTTCAGAAGCTTGCAGAACTGAGTGCTGCTGAACATTTGCATGGCCATGAGCAATGGTGAAGCTTGCTATTGCACTCTTAGCATGTGCTAGTATTATGCTGACTACTGCACTATGTTATTCTCTTACACTACTACATGTATGTAAACGTGCGTGCATCCGCCCACGTATGCATTCGTTTCGTATAATTATTTGTTATCCCTCTTGACTTTACGTGTAAATGGGTGGACGTTTGCATGGCTGTTGGAGTTGCGTGTGTATTGTGTCTCTACTCTTTTCTTGGTGTTTTCTTGGCGTTGTATAAGTTGTGTGTGTGTGTGTGTGTGTGTGTGTGTGTGTGTGTGTGTGTGTGTGTGTGTGTGTGTGTGTGTGTGTGTGTGTGTGTGCTGGCCCAACCTGCACGCATGCGCGAGTCACGTGGGCACGCGCCCTTCAAAATCCTGTACAATGTCTCTTTCATGTCATTGCTGTTTGGACTTTCGAGCGTGCAACTTGCGGAACAGGTGTTCCCAAAACAATTTCCTTCCCACCCTCCCACCCACTAGCTCAACTCATCGATATGAGCTAGAATAACGGAGCTGGAAGGACTCGAACTGTTTGCTTGATTTCTCAGGATGTACGAAAACAGGAATACACCACATGCTGTACAAGAACAGTGAGTCAGTCAACTTTGACATTAATCCTTGCCATGATATAATATGTACAATGTACATGTGTAGGTGCTCTTGTCCATCAATACCACAACGATTGAGGAACCAAAAAAAGTATCGAAAAAAGTTTCATTCCGGCCGACCGAGTCTCCTTTTTGAGGGGTTGCCGACCGGAAACAAGCATATTTTTTGTTTTGGCCTAATTTGCAGCGTCTGCGAAGAGACCACTTGATTTGAGGATGGTGTTTGTAGGGTTTTTCATGTAATAGAGAGGTTCTGCAAAACGAAAATGTGTACGAACTTTCGCTCTACGTCACGAAGTGAGAAACTTCGCACGAACTTTCGCAACTTTGGACGCGAAACTTGCAGGGAACGCGAAATGAACTTTCGTAGGAAGTTTCGTGAGATTGGGTCATGTCGTACGTGCACTTGGCGCGTGCAAACTACGAAAATGTGCAGAACACAAAGTTCTTGCGAAAATTCGTACACACTTTCGCAAGGCCTGTCGCGAAACTTCGTTCGAACTTTCGTTGTGCAGAACCTCTCTAATGAAGTGGATGCAGTGGCGCCTCAATACTTATTTTTATCTTGAGAAGTGAATGATGTAAAGGATTAAAATATTCACTGCTTACAGCAGATCCTATGTCTAATTTCAAACTCTGGATAGGGGATGCTTATATGGCTGGACTTTATACAGGGAGTGTTGTCCACATAAAGACTCCTTATAGTTGATTTCAAAGTTTGGACTCCATACAGTTTATTTTGGACCAATGGACTCTATATAGGGGTGAAGCCAATTGGCTGGACTCTATACAGGGAGTGATGTCCATCTAAACTTTGAGCTCACAGTTGATTCCAAGTTTGGACTCTGTACAGTGGATTTTGGACCAATGGACTCTATATAGGGGTTGGACATCATATAGGGGCTGGACGCTCTACTGAGTCCAACATATAATGTGAAGAACAATAAGAAGAACGTTAAAAATTGCCTGGAACTAGCTTTCGCACAACGCTCATCAGTAAGCATTGTTGTACTGATCAACACATGTGTGCGTATGTGTGCGCGTGTGTTTGCATGTGGGTATATGTGTACATGTACGTGTGTGTGTGTACGTGTGTGTATGTGTGTGTATGTATGTGTGTGTGTCCGTGTTACAGGAAATGTTCTTACTTAGTCATGTGACTTTGTTGCTGCGTGATGACATGAACGACCCAGAGTTTGTTGCCAGCATAGTCGCTATGGTCTTGGCTATTGTCGTTACCATCGTTGTCTACTTAGCGGTAAGCACACAAATGCCCCAATGTCCCGTGCTACTGCATTTTGTGTGTATATATGCAAGAAAGTCTACAGATACTGGAACCTGCCGTTGGACGGCCTTTTTATCCTCTGTTTAAAAAATTATCCCTTTCAAGACTTGGATTTGATCAGCATTGATAAATTGAACTTCTGATCAGTGGTAACACCGGGATTTTCAGGACCTGAACAATACACGCATCAATTGCACGTTTCGCTCGCAGAGGGTGAGGCCATTGACATGAGCTGGCAACCCTGTTTCTGCATGCATGTGAATGTTCTTGTAGATAACGCCTCTTTCCTGGGCAAAATACGGTAGTTATCGTAGTGATGCGGTTCTACCATCGTCTGTACCATACAGTGTTAGTTTTGTTGCTGTAACTTACTGTACATGTGTGTGTGTGTGTGTGTGTGTGTGTGTGTGTGTGTGTGTGTGTGTGTGTGTGTGTGTGTGTGTGTGTGTGTGTGTGTGTGTGTGTGTGTGTGTGTGTGTGTGTGTGTGTGTGTGTGTGTGTGTGTGTGTGTGTGTGTGTGTGTGTGTGTGTGTGTGTGTGTGTGTGTGTGTGTGTGTGTGTGTGTGTGTGTGTGTGTGTGTGTGTGTGTGTGTGTGTGTGTGTGTGTGTGTGTGTGTGTGTGTGTGTGTCTTGCTCTTGAGCAGGACGGTTTGAATTTTTTGAGCTCTTCCGTATCTGGTCTTCTTTACCGTTTCATAGCTGGGCTTTGCCCAGCGGGGCAGCTCTGGGCCCTCCAGAGTTGTCCTAAGGCTTAGTTCTGCACTAGGCAGGTTCATCGGGGAGTGGGTTCACGGCACAGTCGCCAGGACAAATTATTTTTGATATTGTCACGGCTGTGTCGTCCACTCTCCGCCATTCGCAGTGGGTTGGCGACCCCTCGGATGTGTATCTCTTTAGCTACGACGCGACCCGAGTCATGTGTCGGGGGCAGAAGCGGAGAGACGAAGACGAAGAATATCCGCTTTGCGACGTGGAACGTCCGAACGCTTGTCAATGCTGACGGCTCTGTCGAGACTGCCGCTCGTCGGGGGCGCGTGAGCGAGGATAGAAAGATAAATTTAGTAGTCCGCGAGGCCGAGCGCTTGGGTCTGGAGGCAATTGGACTGCAGGAGACGAAATGGTTCGGCGCTGCGTCGTACTCTGTTGGTGATGCGTTGGTTATATCGTCGGGTCGACCTCTGCCGACTGAGAATTTCACTCGTGGAGAAGGAGTCGCCGTCTTGTTGAGGCGGCGTGCCAGAGCGGCGTTTGAGCGCGGAGGCTCGCAGCAGAGTGCTGTCTCGTCCAGACTTATGACATGTAAGTTGAAGTTTCCTCTGTGTACTGGCACCCAGCGGCAGTGCCCTGCTGAGAGAGCCTCTGTGTGGGTACATCTGGTTGTTTGTTATGCACCCACGTTCCGGGCCAGTCGATCAGTGAAGGACGCATTCTATACAGATTTGCAGCAGACTGTCATGGCTGTTCCTCTCTCAGATCATTTGATCGTCCTTGGGGACTTCAATGCACGTGTGGGTTCTGCTGTTGAGCCTCAGTCTTCTGGTTTGTGGCGGGATGTCCATGGAGGCTTTGGCATTGGTGAGCGCAATGATGCTGGGATGGAGTTGTTGGATTTCTCGTTACGCAATAACCTGACCATCTGCAACACCCATTTCCGGAAGAGGATGATACATCTGGCTACGTGGCGGCACCCGAGATCCCAACGTTGGCATTGTATTGATTATGTACTTGTCCGTGTAAGTCAGATGCAGTATGTTGTGGATACCCATGTGATTCGCGGTGCAGAGTGCAGTACTGACCACAATCTCTTGTGTATGACGTATTGCCTGCCAGGGAGGATTGTGCCCGGCCGAAATCAGAATCAAAAGCGCAGGAACCGGCGGTTTGCGGTTCAGGAGCTGCTGACTGTGCCAGGTATGACTGACGAGAGGCGGGAGTTAGTCGAGTGCACCCGAGCGGAGTATGGCCACTGTTTGTCTGGTGGCTTGGAGAACTTTGATGCTGGCGGACTCATCGAGGAGCAGTGGTCCTGTATTAAGAAGGCTATAACGTCATCAGCTAAGGCGGCAATCGGGCATGAGAGGCGTAGCAGTCCTGACTGGTTTGTCCAGAGTGCGGCCACATTGGAGCCTATTCTGAAGGCCCGGAATGATTTGTATCGGAAATGTCACTCTGGTTCCCGGGCGGATTTGGTTGCCTACAGGGAGGCCCGTGGTGGGGCCCGTGCGGCTGTTCGTTCCGCAAAGGAGAGTTGGCTCAGTAAACAAGCTGACATCGTGGAGGCTGAGCGGTTTAATACCAAGAGTGCCTGGGCTGCCATTCGGGCGATTCAGCGATGCTTTGGGGGCATCACACCCATGAAGGTGCAATCCATCCAGGACACCGATGGCATTGTATGCACGTCGTTGGAGGCCATCTCGTCCAGGTGGTATGAACACTTTTCAAACGTCCTTAATATCAGGAGCCTCTATGACTTGGACGTTTTCGGTACGCTGGAGGTCAGGCCCATCGACGAGGAGCTCGCCATCCCTCCATCTCCTGAGGAAGTTGGTCGAGCTATACGTGCAATGGCTCATGGCAAGGCAGCTGGCGCATCGGGGATCCTGCCCGAACTTGTGAAGTATGGCTCCTGTGAGCTGCATGAATGTTTGCTGGCCTTGCTTTTGACTGTCTGGTCCACAGGTGGTGTTCCTCAGGAGTGGCGGAATGCCCAGCTGGTGCCAATCCCAAAGCGTGGAGATCTATCGCTCTGTGACAATTGGCGTGGGATCTCTCTTTTGGAGGTGGTGGGCAAGATGGCTGGTCGCTTGATACAGAACCGCCTTCAATCCAGGGCCGAGCATCTCCTCCCGGAGTCTCGGTGCGGATTTCGACCCAACCGTGGCTGTGCTGATGCTGTGTTTACTGTCCGGCAACTGGTGGAAAAGGCATACGAGCATCGTACAAAAATATTTTGTATCTTCGTGGACTTGAGAAAGGCATATGATTCTGTGCCTAGGGCTGCACTGTATCGTGCTCTTTCTGTCCTTGGTATTCCTCCGACTCTCCTCAAGGTCATTGAGTCATTTCATGATGGCATGGTGGCGGAGGTGCGTGTGCCTGGAGGTGTCACGGATGAAATTCGTGTGGAGAACGGCCTGAGGCAGGGGTGTGTAATGGCCCCAATCCTCTTTAACCTCTATCTGGCTCTGGTGGTGGAACGTTGGCGGTCTGTTCTCGCTGATCGTGACCCAGACATTGGCATCCAATTTCACTATCGCTTGGATGGCCAGTTATTCAACCCAGCACGACGAACCCGTACCTATCAGCAGACCGCTGTTGTTGATGTTGAGTATGCGGACGATGCAAACTTTGTAGTTGGTTCGCGGGAGCATGCTGTGTTGGCCTTGACGGCGTTCCAGGATGTTTCTGCTGAATTTGGCCTCACTGTGAGTATACCCAAGACCAAGTTTATGGTGGCTGGTGTTGGTGTTACTTCAGTTGACACTGCTGGCATTCCGCTTCATGGACAGGTGGTGGAAAATGTTTCCTCCTTCGTTTATCTGGGTTCTGTCATCACTCCGGATGCGCGTTCTGCGGGAGACGTTTCGAGGCGTTTGTCACTCGCCTCGCGTGCCTTTGGATCGCTTCAGGATGTGTTTGCTAATCGTGATCTTTCACTCCATGTGAAGCGCCGATTGTATAACGCCTGTGTGATGACAGTGCTACTGTATGCTTCGGAGTGCTGGTGCCCTTTGCAGGGTGACCTCCGGCGCCTCGATAGTTTCCACCACCAATGCATCCGTAGCATCTTGTGTGTTTCGCGAACACAACAGCGGGAGGAACGCATCACCAATGAGCAGCTCCGAGAGATGTGGGGTGATACATCGCTATTGTCCTCCCGGCTTCGGAAGCGGAGGCTTGAATGGCTTGGCCATGTGGCCCGCATGTCGGATGTTCGTGTGCCCAAGCAGCTGTTGTTTGGCTTCCTACCGTCGCCTCGGCCTGCGTGTGGTCCCCGTCGTCGCTGGAGGGATGTGATTTCGGCTGATCTTCGGCACATCGGCATTGAACATCTAGCTTGGTATGGGATTGCTCAGGATCGATCTGCCTGGCGGGTGTCTGCCGTTGGGCCGAGCCTCGGCGGTCCTTCCCATGACCAATCTCAACGGGTGGACTGTCTTATCTGCCACCGTTCGTTTCGTCGGCCAGGTGACAAAGCAAGACACAAGTGTAGCGCAGAACGAAGTCTCCCCATCCAGGGACAGCGTGGTGCTGTGCAGTGTGGTACATGCAGGAGGTGGTTTCACTCTCGTGGTGGCTTGCGTGTACATCATTGTTTGCCCCTGGAACCATCGGAAGCGTCCGCGCCGGCATCACCTATTCCGCTCAACGTCCCAGCTTCTCTCTTGTGTGTGACATGCAGTCGGCAGTTCAAGTCAGTGCCTGGTTTCAGACGTCACAAGTGCGACCGTGGCCATCGAGCAACCAAGTCTGATAGAGCGTCGTATGGTGTTCGCTGTTCTCGCTGCAGCCGTCAGTTCCGTCGACAGAGTGACCTGAGTCGTCATCTCCGTTTCTGCTCCTGACAATGACTCTGGCTCCTTTCGGAGTGGTGTGGCCCTTGTGGCAACCAAGCTACAGTAGTAGTAGTAGTAGTGTGTGTGTGTGTGTGTGTGTGTGTTTTGTGCTCCTTGGGAGCAGGTTACACTTTCTAAGCTCCGTGTTCTTGGCTTTCTCCCAAGTTTTCTGCCTGCCCAGGGCGACTCTGGCGTAGCCAGAGTCGACCCTGGAGCACCCTCGCACACTGCCAACGTAGTGCTGCATGATTGGAGCGCGGAATCGCGATGTAGCTTGCAGGACAATTTACTTTGATATTGTCACTGCTGCGTCGGCCGTGGTCCACCACTCGCAGTGGAGTAGCTGTCCCTCGAGTGCTGTGAAGAATACAAGCTCGAAGAATGCAGTGGTGGGAATTGCGGATTGGCTGGTGGAGTGCTGGAACAACTCGTTGTTTTCAGTGGAGTGGACGAGCGAGTGCGGAGAGGAAGGTCCCAATGGCGGAATGGTGGGAATTGAAACTTCAATCTTTCGTCGTCATGAGTGCACTGGTCAAGCGTTGTGGAAGTCTGTCGGATTTGTGAGGCCTTGCCCTGCCGCTTACATCGTCAACGTGGAAGAACTGCT